AGAGAGAGAGAGAGAGAGAGAGAGGGAGAGAGAGAAAGGAGAGAAAGAGAGAGAAGAGAGGACAAAAAGGGGGGAAGGGGAGAGTGAGAGTGAAAGAAAAAGACGTGAACAGAAAACGAATTAACTGACACGTATTCCCGCACCAATATTTCACCACGAAATCCCAACCCCTGATCCTTTTTCTAGTTCTAGGCTCCGCGATTTTTAATGAGCCTTCGTTCGTTAAACACACATTGTAATTATTTCTTGAAGGTAATCTGGGAATTTTTATTTGTCCAAGGTAATCTGGGAATCATTTCTTCAAGGTAATCTGGGGCAGAATAAACCAAGCTGTGAGCTGAAACATTTCGCGCATTTTCTAAAGTCTGGCAAGGGGGCTCTCGTGGTCTAGAGGTAAAGGATTTCGCCTCTCATTCAATAGGTCGCGGGTTCGAATCCGGACAGCGACAGAAAATTTTCTTCTCTAAATGTTTCTCCTTTCGCTTCCTTTCCTGTCCTTTAACAATGGTCTGTCGTCTGTTTTGGTCTCCACTTTCTGCTCCCACCCCCTCACCTCCTTTGTCCCCTCCTCTAGGGTCATGACTCTTTCTGCGGCCTTTCTACTGCTACTCCTTGACTCCTTCTTACTGCTGTCTTTCAGCCACACCCCAGCTATTATGGTAGATGGTCTATCTAGATGTACACCTAGCCTTCTCGGACAAAGACGAAAAATCTCGGAGGTCAAAAAATGTCCTACTATAAGTACCGTAACTGAAAATGTTTAATGTGTCCCGTGCGCTCATATGACCTTGTCTCGTGAAAGAGTTTTACGGCGCTTGCAACTGCATAGAATTTTACAAAAATGGTGTTTTATCATATTCCTTTACTACGGTGAGTCGTTAGCTCAGCTGGTATCATACTAGACTACGGTGTTGGTGATCCTGGTTCAACTTTTCTTATGGCGTTCATAAATGTGAACGTGGGACTCAAGTTGGTTGTTTTCAATTTCAGTTCGCAACAACGAAAGAACGGCTTGGTTTTACTTAATGGCTGAAGTACGCCTCTCTCTCTCTCTCTCTCTCT